GTTTTCACCCGAAACGAGAAAGTCCCGTTGACTGCGTCAACATGAATATTGTATAAAATCCAACCGGCTGTAGTACAACGAGTTTCATCCGTCCTCATCTGTTGAGATCGACCCACGAATCTCTTCTTCATGCACTTTCATACAAAATGAAGGTCCCCCTAACAATATTTTTAATCAAGGGAGGATATATTCGGGAATTCATCAACCTGAACGTTGTTAAAAAGCCAATCTACTCCAGAATAACTGGAATCAGCTGTCGCCTTCTGGTGACATCGACATAAGAATCTTTTCATCAAGCACTTTCACACGAAATGAAAGTCTAACCAACAATCATATCTCAAGAGCTTAATCAAAACTAAGTTACTCTTCGGATCACATCTAAGATCATTCTTTCATTAAAATCATTTACATTTTGAGCCTGAACTGAATCTACCATACAGAGCCATTTTCTCGCTTTCTAACGTCTTAGTGTTTTTTTCTCCTACATACGGTCCCTTGTCATTTGCTTGCTTCCTCGATCCTATGTCACTGGCAAACTGCATCATTTGACAGGCCGAAATCTTTCTGATAACATAGCGCTCGTCTCGAAGCTGGTCAAATGGGAACACATGAAAGGGGTCGGTTACATTCGCAGCAAGGCAGATGCCGACGGCGGCTCCGGGCGCAGTGGTGCCGGGGGTCAAAGGGGCGCCGGAGGGATAGCACTACGCGGTGGGGCCCGAGTGGGCGGAGCAACGGTTGCCGGCCGCGCAGGGACTGTTGGAGTGGCAGCAGTTGGCCCAGGCAGGCGTCCGGGAGTTGGCGGCGTCGGCGAAGGCAACTTGTTTGAAGGGATTAACAAGATCTTTGGGCCTGAAACCGAGTTTATTGAGGAACGCTTTGTTGAACTTAGCAACACTGTCGGTCGCTTGTCGGGCTTCGAAGAGCGACTTGCAAAGTTGGCTCAGGTCATTTCAAAGTTGACTAGATCTGTGCATAACCTGTATAAAGGTCAAAAGCAGGTAATTTGTTTTATCCTTACTTATCCTGAAAGTGGTGCCTTCTGTATGTTCATTGAAATAAGCAAGGGGCACAATACTTATGTACAGCTTTTTAGG